TTCAGCCTTTTCTCGACCGTCTTTGTAGTCGAATCGGGAGATAATGGAACGAGGAGATTCCGCGGTGACATCTACGAGATGTAATAGGTCAGTTGTGAAGGCCTCCACGCAAAGCTAATGCTCACAGCCCGACCAGCCGTCCACACTCACCTTCTTGCAAATTTGCAGCCAAATAAGACACCAAAGGCTTGATGGCATCGTCTTTGGTCCATAATGCTTGAGCGGCGGATTTCAGCGCATCCATTAAAGATGGGAGACTATCTGCTTGGTACCAATCGGTTTGAAGAACGAAAAGCAGTCTCCTCACGAGCCCGATCTTGGCAAATCTTTGTTTGATGTTGAACCGGCGGTATCGACTTCCATCGAGGAGCGTTAAAAAGTGTTCGAAGTGGACACGTTGTATATCCTTCCGTGTGTGTGACCACAGCTCAAAGTCTAGAGCCAAAGCTCGATAGGCAACTACATTGACAATGGTCGAATGGCTATAGATGATTGGTCACAAGGCTCATATTTCAAGAACGACCAACTCACTCAGGCGACCGGAAATTCAAACCCAAGAACTCGAAGAGTGTCTCAAAGCTCGTCATGTTCAGCATTTCCGCTTTGGAACGAAGGATGTCCGCGAGGATATCATAACCACCTGAACGAGGGTGCCGTCAGAAAACATAAACGCGACGGAAACAACGACACAGCGCACGTAAACGCTCTATATCCTCCGAGTTTTGCCAGCTGTTCTTCATACCATCCGTCACAACACCGAGCGCACGGGAAATCTCATGCGGAGTCTACACCAGCAATCAGAATGAGATTGATCCAATCAACGCACAACAAAACCTACCTGCGCAACTTGAATCAGCCTCAGCGCAACAGCAGCACCGCCCTCTCTCCAAAGCGCACTATCCAAACACTGGGCCTTCATCACATATATATCTCCCTTCGCAACAAACTCCCTCCGGGACGACGTCTCGCTTTTTCCACTCACACTGTTCCCACCTCCCGCAAGGCCGCCCCCGCCCAACGCAGAAACAGTATTAGTAAACCCAGAAGCAAGGCAGTTCAGCGGACTGAGTGCGAATATGATAGCAGATTCTGGTAAGCCGATGCCGTCTTTTACGGCTTTGACGATAGAGGAGGATACTTGGGTCATCATTACCACTGAAGGCGATTTGGCGCTGGCGGAAAGGGGTGTGGGAGGCAGAGGGCTGCGCTGGGACGCAGTGATTTGGAGGTTGGATAAGAACATGTTGAGGGAAGTTGAGGCCTCGTATGTTAGGAATTTGGATAAAGAGGGGTCTTGGAAGCTTCCGTAGTAGCGAGGACCGAGGTGGTGGATGAACCGGGGAATATCGTCCGCTGAAAGAGAGTGTAAGTGGGCCTACATTGCGAGGTTACGCTGGGATACACTCACCAAGCGGAAGGGCTATCATATAGCAGGACGAAAAACACCAGTCCATCGTAGCATCCTTGGAGCTGTCACCGATAACGTACTGAAGGACGGCTTGAGCTGATGAGCTTGCTTTCGGATAGTTCCAGTGTACGGTGTCGGTAAGTACTCCATCGATGAATAAACCTATAGACAGTTTGAGAACTCCATAGAACCGGAAACGGTGGTAAGACGTACGGATACTAGGGTTTGAGAACCGATCCTTTCCTGGGTAATGTGCTATTAAAACTTGCGTCCACTTTGCTCTCAGAATCCGTGCTTGTGTGAATTCCACAGATTGCTTGCTGCCAGAAGAAAGCAGCTCAAGCTTGCCATCATGGTGTAACCGGAGGGAAAGCAAGTCTCCCTGCATACCCGATACGCGTGCTGCAAAGATTAATTGAGAGGTATTTGTTCGGGGAAACTTTTCGATCCAAAGCCAAATCTAGAAAAGGTTCAGTACAAGGTACAAGGAGCATCCCATAAACACAGTGACATACCATGAATGTGAATCCAGTCACTGGAAGAGACTTGATGCCCTCTTGTGTAAAGACTAGTTCGGCAGACGAGCGGAACGAAAAGTGTTCCAGCCACCGTGATTTCATCCCAGCTCTAATCAGCTCTAACAATTCCATGTCAAGCGCTCCGTCTTCCTTGATAGCACGCTGGAACATTCCACGAGCGACTGTGGGTGAAGCACCCATATCCAACAGCTTTCGAGACAATCTTTGCACCACTGTCTTCTCCCTTTTCTCGGTGACCCTAGAAAGATGATCCAACAAAGGCTGAACGACTTCTGGCACACTAAGTATGGCGCGGTTGCGGTGATTTATACCAGCTAGTAGCTCTAACAGCTTGTAAGAAGCGTAAGATTTTGGGAGAAAGTTCCAAAGCAGATAAATTGCCCCGGGATGATGAATTGTGGCGTTTGTGTTTGCCAGTTTAGGACCGAAAGTCACTGAAGATCGTGTCCAGCTCATCGAGGTTGGTATGAGGACGAAGACTGCAGAATATCCCGGAAGCGGAGAACTCGCAGAGCGCGAAGGAGAGGAGGAAACCGAGTGTCTCGTCTAGAGTCTTTGGATTGGAAACGAGGCCGTGCATGGCGCTTTCTAGAGACTGGTAGCCCACGTATGTTCTAAAATACTCTGCATTTTGAAAATGGTCATTCGTAGCTTCCGAGGCGACGACAAATACGACTCGTGTGCATTCAATCACGTCTGCAAGCACCTGTTCCTCCGGTTCAATGACGGGACTAGAATGAGATAGCTGAACATTTGAAAGTACGCTAATGAGGACCAAGAACCCATCGAGCTCACGGAATACATCCTTTGTTTGAGATTCCTGAAGCAATATTCGCTCAATCTCTAACAATACCTGAACTCTTGTTTTAGTTGGTACATTTAGAATCTCTGAGACACACACCTCAATTTGAGCCTTTCGCGAGTCCGCTTGCTTCAGATTCTCGACAGAATTCCGCATCAACTCGATTAAGACATCTCGCGCAAAGTCTTCTGGTGCCAGTTCATCGTCTGGTTCCGGCTCCGGTACACTAGGAGGCGAGCGGGGCGACAAGTCGAATCTTGCGCGCAGAGGGGTAAAGAGAGTTTTGAGCATTATTCTTGGTTCTGCGTTAGTGCATTGGTGCTGCAGTCGCCGTCAGGTTGTACAGCAACAACCTATGATAGACTGTAAGTCTGACCCTGTACTTAAACTTTGGGCGCTTCAACCGTATAAGTAACACATGACCCACATCCGAATCAGCACGCGCCAAAGGTCTTGATCTGTTTCTACAGCGACTTGCCACCTTGCAAAGATAACGTTTTCGTCGTTTGCAGTGGAACCCCGTGTGGACAATGAAGCTTTGAAGCTTTGAAGGGGAAAAATCTACTGAGCGACGAATTCCTCTTCATCGATGCCGAAGGCCACAAGGCTTCCCCGTACCAGAATTGCTGCCTTCTTGAAGAATATGAAGTGAACTGACAGTGAACGACATGTGCCACTTTCGGACGGACGACGTCAAGGAGGATGAAGACATAGACCAACCAACTCCCGACCTGACGAATCTCACATGGACTTTCTTCAAACAAGCTGCGAAATTCTGAATCTCGTCTCATCGATCGAGATTCTTTGGCTCCTTTTCATTCTTACCTGTCGACTCCTTCGGAAGAATTGAAAGCACGGGATGCGGACATTATAAGCTTTCCTTTTTGTTCGCCAATGCAGATGTTCATTTAGTTGACTGCAACGGTGAATTAGTTTGACTGTGCCCCTGCGGATGTAATTGCTTCTGTTCATCGACTCAGAAACGTATCGACTTGTACAGGACCATTAAATAGTACAAGCATACTCCCTCGTCAAATCTGATATAAAAAAGTACCTCTATACGGAGCTGACATATTCGAAAAAGTGAATGGTATTCCAGAAAATTTGTGATCCAGGCCTGGATGCACTCGAACTCGCGCTTCTCGATTCTCGGTGTCCAGTGACGCGTCGGCCGTCGGGTCCTCCTCCCTGACCCTCCTCCTCCCTCCTCCCTGGCGTTTTCCGAAAAATCCAAGAATCGCAGTGTACTGTATCACTGATTATCATGCCACCATCATCTATCAATTCAATTCAATTCAACGGACTTCAACTTTTGAACTCCACCACCTTCCACCACCTGCGACTTCTATCACTGTCGACGACCATGCTATCTAATTGCGCAGAGACTCGTTCTTCTCGAGTGAAAAGTCAACCAATTGCCGTTCTTTGGATACACATTAGTTCAATACTGTCCTTATCTCAATCGACAACGACTATCCTCCGATTCAACAGAAGCCGAAAATGCCTTCTACGAATACTACAGCACACAATTCGCTTCTGGAACTGAAGCACTTCACGCTTACTATTTTCATTGAAACCCAGGGAGCTAGCGGCACTCCCAGATTTTCTTTCTCGATTCACGCCGAGCTTCAAGACAGTGGATACATTGCAAAACACTTCCTCAACGGCTACGAAACCTTCCTCAAACGACTACCATCACCTCTGGCCAGCCGAGTTCCAACAACTAGCAATCCCAGCAAGACATAGTCATGGTACCGATACACTGAAGGCAGTAGTAGCAGTGGGTACCTTGGGAGGGTAATCTGGATCATATCAGCACAGCATTGAACTCGGGTGCCACATGGTTGTTTACTTGTATTCGTTTTTATCACGATGATCCAGTCTATGCAGCAGAAAATCCCGGGTTTCCCTTCCTTCTCCAAATCGTACAATGATTCTTCCAATAACAGTCCGATTAATACCTCGATGCAGTAATATTGCGTTCACAATGCGATTCTTATCAGAAACACCAAGTCCGAGTAGCTCGTTAACACTAGGTGCTGCTTCATCTACCAGGTCATTGTACGTTCAGAAGAAACTTTGGTGTAGTCAGAGTGCTGGACCTTTAAATAAGCGTAAGAAGGATCCAATCAGGACTGGAGAACTTCATGGCATTCATAGGCCACTAAATCAAAAAATTTTAGACAGATGCGAATGTAATTTTACTTCAAACGAAGAAAAAAAAAATTGTTCAAAAGACAGATCGATGGATGGGCCTGACCGGGAATTGAACCCGGGACCTCGTCGAAAAGGCAGAGCAAATTTCTCACCCTAACAACGAATCATACTCCTAGACCATCAGGCCATGATTGATCCGCTGTTTTAGATCATGAGAACTGTCAGTCACGAAAAAAATCGGAGCTGGCAGCACGGTGTAAGTATCAAAGTAATATTCTCTGGAGATCTGTGTAGCCAACAAACAGTATATTCTATTCAGGCGATCTGCGACGTTTCTTTATCTGGGAAAGTCAAAGCGAGCTTTCGTGCTCCAGACCTTCTCCGTGTTAGCTCTCAAATATGAACATAGTAAATGTACTGTAGAACCTTGGGTGATGAGCATAAAGGAGGCTATTTACTCTGCTTGGAGGCGCCGAAAGCATATATATATAAGTTTCTTGATTTGTGCCCAGAGGGTTGGTAAATCAACAAGAAACAGCCAGAGGTGCCTGCACCCATCGGCCTCCAAAAAAAACAATTACTTTAACACTTTCCTACGTGTAGGTGCATTTAACTTCTTCCTCTTCGCAGGCGCAGCATCTCGAGCAAAGACCTCTCTTCATCTGAGCTCCCGTAAACATAACGCATACGTTTGGTCGACTGCCCACTGGGAGGTTCATCTTGGGTGCTAGTGCTAGGAGCGGATCCGTCCGCCGCCTTCTGAGGGAGTCACAGCATCGCCAGATTTAGAGCTCTTCGAAACTTTCTTTGCTTTTTTGGATTTTCGGTTTTGGTCTGGGTGTGGATTTCGAACTTTTCCGGGCGGTCTTGCTCTTGCTCTGCGCCTTCTTTTGAGGGCTCTCCTCCCATTCACTGCCTTCATCTCCATCAATGAAGAGGCCCATACTAGGTTCGAATTGCTCCTCCTTGATATGCGCCAACTCAATGACAGGGGCCCGTGCCTTTCGAGTAGATCGAGACCGAGAATGAGCACGCGTGGGTTGGAGCGAAGGGTCTTGGGTCTCCTTTCCCACTGGCTCCAATGAGCTCCCTCTATCAATGTTCTCAAGTGCGCCAGCGATTTCATCTACTTCGTCTTGGTCGGTGTCGTTAGTGGTGGAAGGAATGACGGAAGGAGGAGCTAAGGAATGGTCCATGGCCAATGCTGTGGGGGCCCGAGAGGTAGGAGAAGGAAGAAGATTTGAAGCCGAATCAATGAGTGTGTTGCTGGAGCTCGAAACTAGATCTGGTTGAGTTTGAGGACCGGAACTAGTTTCTCCAATACTGGAACCTGAACCCGAAGCGGAGCCAGAGTCACCCGCTCCGCTGGACACAGTTTCAAAAACACGAGATTCCAGATCCGCATATTCTGATACGGGAATCTCCCACTCGCCTTCGTCGTGGTCTACTTGGTGTGACCCAGTTTCTGATAGGGATGCTGAAACTGAAACAGCTCGTGCTTTCCCTTTTCCCTTCACATCTTGTTTCTTCTTCTTTCTCGCACCAGTAGTGTCGGCCACCTGCGCACAGTCGGCGTCCTGATCCAATACCTGAGAAACATGGTCGTCCGGACTGAGCTTTCGCTTTCTCGATGATCTGGTGATCATGTTAGGAGATGACATCAGCTCAACTGCAGGCGAAGGCGAGTAAGCTGGTTTGGATAACCAAGCGGCTAAAGAATTGGTGCTTTCGCCTCGTCTCTTTACTTTTAACACCTTGACTCCAGGTGTGGCAGTGCGAGGGGGCGACGAAGGAATGGCGGCGTTGGTCGCAATGGCGTTTTCAAGGGCAGTAATTCTATTGAAAAGAATAGGCTATTAGTACAAGTTTTGACGGTAGAAATTAGATGCGATATGATAAAGATGAAATGAATGTGTGGGTTGAAGGAATGGGGTGCGTAGGGATCGGTTCCGTGGATATTATGAAGTATAAAAGAAAGTATAGAAGTATCGCTCTGAATATCCGCAAGTGGTTCGACGTGCTAACACACTTCCGCAGAGCGCGTCAATGAGGGGCTGGATTGACAGACTGGACCAAAGGTTTCGACCACCGGGGTAGCGCGGGACGAGTAAACGAAAGCGGTGACAGCGGTGTGGGAGGTGACTCCACTGCAAGAGGAATTGCCATCTTTCCTTTGAGTCTCAGCCTCGGCATTGAGGTAGTCCGAGCACTGGACCCAGACGAGTGGATCGAGGAGGGAGACTCAAACAATGGTAAACCGAATCTGCGCTTCTGCAGGTTTTGCTCAACACTCATCAACTTCACAAGAGGCAAACTCTGCAACCCATGTGAGGACGGCGGTGTCGGCTGAGAGAAAGCTTTTCGGGTTACAGACACAGGAGGATTGTGATCGGACGATACACCTACACCTACACCAGATGGCTGATTTGAACGGATAGGCGACGGCTGTCCTCCGCGTTGCTGCGGGAAAAACGGGGAAGGCGACGACGTTGTAGACGAATACACTGATACCGGAATATGCCGTTGTACCAGTGAAGTTTTGGCGATGCTCTGGGATTGACTTCGGCGTTGAGGATTACCCTCCGTCGCTTCGCCATCACCAACCTTTCCGCGAACTCGAGTCCTACTAGTTGCCCGAGATCTGCTCGATCGCTTGCCGGGCTTGGAAAATGTATCTGGTATCCTTGTCTGATTCACCTGTCGTTGGGCTTGTAGTTGCTCTGGACCTGGGGTCGAAGGTAAAACCGTAATAACTCGGTCGAGATGATCCATGAGATATACCGCGCAGACGAATCCACATAGGAAGGCCGTTGTCACTAGCACCAGTGGAAAAGACTGTGGCGCAGAACTAGGAAGAGTATAGGGGAAAGGAGGAGGAAGTATAGAAGCAGCAACGGATTTCAGGGGAGCGGTGGGGGGAGGAGAGAAGCAGTTTGGACAGGCAGGAAGCGATGCTGAGAAGGATACAGATAAAGATATGGATATGGGAACAGAAGAAGCACGTCTATGTCCATGTCTGCAGCTGCAGTGTATCGTATGTGGCGAAACAAGATGTGTAGGAGAAGATGTACAGGTAGAAAGAGAAACCAAAGAAACATCAGATGCAGATACATACCTATCCCTGACTTGTGTGTTATCCGGGATGAACGAATAAGCACGACGGTAAAACGCAAGTGCTCGAGGAAGGTCGTTGCTGAATATCGGAATACAAATCAGTATAAATGTATGAATAGAGCATGTCGACATACTTGTCGTGTTGCGCCTGCCGAGCCTGCAACAACCACGACCTAGCTAGGCGAGTATTACTGGGTGAGACCGAAATCGAAGTCGTCGGAGTAGGGCTAGATTTCTGTTTGACCGATACAGGTGCGCTGCGGACATCGCGTTGAGGCCTCTTGCCCCTTCCTCCTTTTCCTTTCGTATTTTCACGTGCGGAAATTATTGATACAGGTATTGAGGGCGGAGGAGACTCATGCGGCGCCATTGGGGAGAGTGATGGTGAAGCTGGGGTTGGCTTTTGCGAACCAGAGAGGCGAGTTATAGGAGCTAGTGACCCGGAAGCGGACGAGGAGCCAAGGTCACGAGGGGACGTGCCTTCGGGGACGGGTGAGACAAAGGTCGCACCTGCAGAATGAGAAGGGGACGGTTGACGCGGCAATGCAGGAATCGATTCGTCCCCGTCGTCATCGACAAGCTGATCGACCTCTTCATCGGATTGATTATCAGCGCATGACAAGTCCATATCGACGTCTGTGTTTCCATCGAGTTGGGTCTTAACCTCCGAACCAAGACCTTTACATGCAGGGTCGTCATGGGCTACCTGTAGCGGCGTTTCTATGCGTTCCGAGAGTAAAGGGTCCCGCTTCGAACTCTCGTCAGTAAGAATGTATTTTTCTAAGCATAACCTAACTTACTGAAACTACACGATCAAGCATTTTCACTCCTTCCAGTTCCTCTTGCATTCGCTCTTCGAAACCCCCTTGGTCCGCCCTCGCGTCGTTCTCTTCCACCTTTACTTCCTGCGCAAATTCCTGTTCGTCCTCCACCCCCTGTGCGACATTACTCAATAAATCGGACATACTTTGGTCTTGTATCATCGCCAGATCTTCCATGTCCAGTTCTATGTCGGCTTCCTGCTCCACTTCTTCCTGATTAGCCTCTTCTATCTCTTCACGTATCTCTTCATCCACCTCCCTCTTGAATTCCTCCTCTTCCTCTTTTTTCACAAATTGGATGCCTTCCTCGCGAAGCTTAGCCATCCTTCGTTCGACCTCGATTTCAACCGCTTTAGATATCTAGCAAGGAGTATTTCATCGTAAGTCGATATGCATCGAAAGAGTGGAGACAATTAAACACACCCGTTCCTCGATTTCCTCTTCGGTCATGATGATTCCAGTGGAAGGCGCACGGACACCGCCAAACGAGCTCCTTGGAAACCCAGGAGCCATTGGCAACCTCGAAGACCGATGTCCCGTTAAACTCATTCGCAAAGACCCTCCCTGAACCTGCGGAACCGGAATTTGTGAAACTCTTCTTGAGCGTTTCTTCGGTGACAACTTGCTATTTTTCCTCGCATCACGGGAAGTAGAAGGGCGATGACGACTAGTGAACCGTTGTCTCGGCTCATAGATTGCTGGAGCATTGACATCGGAGGTAGAAGAGGGGAAGGGCACAGAAAAGTCGAATGTTTTCACTGATGGAACTTTGCTTTCCGGACGTGGGGGAGGTAAAACCTTGTTCTCTATTCGACGGGCCTGCGAAGCGAAACTATGATATCGTTTAAGAAAGAAAAGACATTTCAATAATTCACTATACTCACCCAACGCTGCGTACGAGGTCAGTTCGGAATTTGATTCCTGGTGCCAGACAAACGATGATCAGCGCCAAGGACGTCCCACCAAGAGCATCGGACAAAAGTCTAGTCAAAGACGAGTCACGGTGGGGAACTAATTTGAGTTTGGGAGAAACTGAAGCTTTTGCGGCCCGGGAAACTGCGCGTGCATTATCGTTCAACACACTAACGACTTTTCCCAAAGCGGTCAAGCTTGTGTTGATAGCGGCACTCTCCTTCATCCTTTCGCGATTGTTCCCCGTCAGATTATTATTCTCGGACCCAGCCAAGTCGAGAAGGTGAAGTTTGCCCACTGAACGAGAGTTTGGAAGAGTGACATAGAGCGTCAGAACGGC